ATAAACTTTAAAAAAAAAAAAAGGAAGTTCTGTGTGTGGAAAAGGAATGAATCCACAATGTTCCCAAGACTTGGATAAAGAACAATATGACTTCCAGGAAGAAACTAAGTATCAGAGACCCTTTCAGTGGCTTACCTTACATCATAACTTTTACTGAATTTCTGTGTATAGAGAAATGAAATCACTACCAAGACTGGTGATGAGCCTAACAACACAACATAATATGCAAAATAGAAATCATTAGCAAGTGTAATTAGTGGCAACTCTCTGGAATGCAGAGGAGTTGGGTTGGTGGAACAGGGTGATGTTTCAGGTGTAAGTGGCCAAGCAGGTGAGTCAGGTGTCCCAATTTCCAAAAAACTTCCTAAGAGTAGTGCAAGCATGTTCTAGATCCCCTTTGCCCTTCAAAAAGCTTCAACTTAGTCTGGCCTCTAACTGCAGAGAAGTTGTGGGACAACAGCCTGGCTGTCAAGGAACAACAATGACGACTGACTGAAATCATGATTTATTTGTTCCCTCCTAGACGAGAATGCTCTCTAAGCTGCCCAAGCCTTAACGTTTCTTAAGTCACTTTAAAATTATTCACTGGAATGTTTTTTGTATTAGCTTAAATAAACTTCGCTTTCAAGTAACAAAAACCACGTCAGGGTATCTCAAGTATAGAGGGGGGATTTATTAGAAGGATGAAGAGCAAAAGCATAGTCGGTGTGGAAGGAACTGGAAGTCAGGAACCAGAAAACTGTCTCTACACTCAGCTCCTCTCTGTACGACTTCATTATTTTCTCTCTTTGCAGGTGGACACCGTCTGCTTTCTTTGGACGTGGATGGTGGATGATGGCTGTCAGCCCCATTCAACTGAGTTACGCCACGTCTATTCAGATGCTCACAACAGAGCAGGGCTCCTCAGCCTCATGCTCACATTGTCGGCCAGATCATTCTTTGTGGTGGGGCCAGTTCTGTGCACTACAGAACATTCGGCAGCATCCCTGGCCTCTCCACACTAGATGCCAATAATACCCAACCTCTCCCTGGACCCCGCTGTGACAATCAAAACGTCTGCAGACAATCCCAAGGTCCCTGGGACGGGGGGCGCAAAAATCACCTAGGGTGAAACTGTTGGACTAGACTATCCAGGTTTTCTTAACACGATATCAAATTTCCAGAGACAGAATCCAACTGGCCCAGCTTGAGGTGTTGTGTCCAACTTGATCCAATCAACTAAAGACATAGAGTCACATGGCAGAGATATGGCTACCAGGAGTCCACAACCATGGGGACGGTGGCCAGTTCCCAAAAAAGAGGGATGAACTCATGCTCTAGTAGGTGTGCCATATGTTTCCTTAACCCTAGAAGTGAGGTGCTCTACCCTGACTTTATGGACTATAGTCATTGGTGATTTAGGAGAAAATTTTCTGAGATATATTTGTAATATCTCCATCCCTTTAAAATTTTAACCCCAAATCTTCCATTATAAGGCTTTTGAAATAAAAACATCTGATTTTTTTTTTTTGGTTCTCTTCAACAATTATTTATTGTGTCTCCTCTGTGCCAAGCACTGGGCTAGGCCTTGGTGAGCTAAGTAGATCGGGTCCTGTTTGCACATTTTAACTCCAGATTGATTTATGAGTTGTGATAGTATAATTCTACTTTGGCATGGCCATTTTACCCTTGATATCTAATTACTGTTTCTAATTTTGAAGTTTTTAAATCAATTCTCTTCATTATTTTTAATTTTCTTAATATCTGAGTTTTTTTAAGTTTATTTTTGAGACAGAGAGAGAGAGAGAGAGAGAGAGAGAAAGTACAAGCAGGGAAAGGGCAAAGAGAAGGGGGCAGAGGATCCAAAGCGGGCTCTGCATTGACAGCAGAGAGCCCGATGTGGGGCTCGAACTCACGAACTGCAAGATCATGACCTGAGCCGAAGTTGGATGCTTAACCAACTGAGCCACCCAGGCATCCCTCAATTCTCTTCTTTATGCCAGTGTGGGGCTATCTGCCTGTCAGAATCGAGGGTTAGTCTTGGACTTCTTACCAGCAATTTGTGAACACATGCCCATGGTTTACTAGAATAGCCACAGTTTTGACCACTGAAACTCAGTTATCCATGGCCCCCAAAATAAATAACAAAGTATTAGGAAGAACATCTTGTCTTTTCTCAGACAGCAGAAAAACAAGTTCTCGCATTAGCTGGCAAAGAAGAATTCACTAAGCAGTGAAGGTTATATAGAATGACTCTGTTAAGTTAAAAATAAGGAAATAAGGTAGATTTATAGCTTTTCATCTCTGCCCGTCTCCCAAAACAGGGTGCTGCTTTTCCAGTGCTGCTTAATCTATATCAGCATCTCCCAGCACATTCTGCAACACACTGAAGACTCGAGGTGTTTTTCAAGGGAAGAATCCCGGGGTCATATAAGTTTGAGAAATGCTGACCATTATGCCCTCCTTTGGGAGTGTCACGATTCAGGTGGTAAGGTCTCTGGGAGGGTTTCACTGCCATAGCCCTCGTGGAGAGAAACCTGGCAGTATTTACTGTCTCTAACATGTGCAAATCCTATGTCCCAGCTCTGTATTCCTGGGTATGCATCAAAAAGAAATTTCCTGGCATGTAAGAAGCAGCTGAAGTATTCATGAAATTCTAGTACACGGTAGCAGTGAGTTGGAGGTAACCCCCAGCAGCAATCAGAAGGATTACATCGCAATGCAGCAAAGTGGAGGAGGCTGAAAATAGTGGAGACGGGGGAATGAGATTTCTAATCTATACCACTGTCATACACTTTTACAATGTCAGACACCGTGCAGATAGACTTACGACACGAGTGGAGCTGAGTTGCCATGGCATTCGTTAGAGGATAGGGGTGGGGTGGGGGCACAATAATAAGAGATGAAACTTGAGATAATTGAGTGCAGATTGAGCGCAGGCCTTTACCTTCGTTCCCTCCCCAAGGTCTGCTAAAACGGCATTAACAGAATAAATAGGGTATAACCCTTTGAGCTCAAAGAGGGCAGAAAAGACAGAAAGCAGATGGTCAAATCTATGACCTGACAGGCCAAAGAAAGCCGAGACGTCAGGGCCTATATAGAGAGGCAAGGCATTAAGAAGCAACTCATTCAAGCCAGGGGACTCCAGAAAAGTCCAGGAGTTAGGAGGACAGGTGCCTCCAAGGCCAGGCCGGGAAGCACAGAACTGGTTGAGAGTGCATACAAGGAGCAGTGGTTTCCTGGGCCCCCTTCTACTGCCAACCCCCCTTCCCCCGCCAAGAGGCAGGTGGTTGACCGTGGACAGGTTGAGTCAGAAAAGTCCTGATTCTGGCTCGCCAGGAAGAGAAGCATGCCACCTGCAAACAAATGGGATTCTGGTGTGGGGTGCTGATGGTGGGGAAGCAGGGGCTGATGGGAACTCTCCGGGCCTTCATTTCAATTGTGCTGTGGACCTACAATTGCTCTAAAAAATAAAGTATATTACTGGGGTGCCTGGGTGCCTCAGTCGGTTAAGGGTCCGACTCTGGATTGGAGCTCAGGTCGTGATCTTGCAGTTCATGGGTTCAAGCCACAAACGGCACTGACAGAGAGAGAGAGGGAGAGGGAGGATCCCAAGCAGGCTCCATGCTGTCAGCACAAAGCCCGATGCGGGGTTTGAACTCACGAACCAAGATTATGACCTGAGTCCAAATCAAGAGTCAGATGCTCAACCGACTGAGTCACCCAGGTGCCCCCCAAATAAAGTATATTAAAAAAAAAAAAAAACAACCAAAAGGGGGCAACTGGCTGGACCAGTGAGCAGAACGTGTGACTTTTGATCTCAAGGTTTGGAGTTCAAGCCAAACGGAGTTATAGCCGTGTTGGCTATAGAAATCACTTTAAATTTTTTTTTTGTTTTAAAGAAATGCCCTGGGATAGAATCTTATTTTAAGAAAATAAAATAGGAGTGTCGGGGTGTCTGGGTGGCTCAGTCGGTTAAACGTTTGACTTTGGTTCAGGTCGTGATCTCATGGTTTGTGAGTCTGAGCCCCACATCAGGCTCTGTGCTGACAGCTCAGAGCCTGGAGCCTGCTTCGGATTCTGTGTGTGTGTGTGTGTGTGTGTGTGTGTGCGTGTGTGTGTGTGTGTGTGTCTCCCTCTGCCCCTCCCCTGCTTATGCTCTCTCTCTCTCAAAAATAAACGTTAAAAATTTTTAAAAAGAAAAGAGAAAAGAGAGCATTTTCACTTTGAAAAACTCAAAGGAATCCAAAGGGCACCTAGCAGATAAGAACACTGAGGTGCAGGGAGTCTCCCCTCGTCCGTACCAGCTCCCTGCTCCCGGTGACCGATGTGGGCATCAGGCAGGGACAGGACTGGACCTGACAGCTCTGGTTCTCTAAGACCACAGGCATGTCCCTGGCTGCTTGGGTGAACGTCTGGCAACAACTGCACCTCTCGTCTTCGGTGGAAACAGAAACAACCTGTCTGCATCTGTCTGCAAACCTAGGCTGTAGCCACTTTATTCTCGCCATCTCCTCACTCACATGAGCTTTGTCATAAGGTTGTCAGTCTCGGGCACCTGGGTGGCTCAGTCGGTTAAGCATCTGACTCTTGGGCTCAGGTCATAATCCTGCGGTTCGCGAGATCGAGCCCCTTGTCGGGCTCTGTGCTGATGGCACGGAGCCTGCTTGGGATGCTCTCTCTCCCACTCTCTCTGTTCCTCCCCTGCTCGTGCTCTCTCTCTATTAAAAATAAATAAATAAATAAGATTAGGGGCATTCACTTTCGAATGTCCCCTCTCTATAAAGAGAGTTTTTCTACTATTCTTCCCCATGCATGTGAACTTGTCCACCTGGCCCGCCCTGGTGTCCCAGCGCTATCCACTTGCGGGCCGCTCAGGGCTCTGTTGCCTCGCTGGGGATTTTGCTGACTCCGATGCCCAAAAAAATCCTCAAGGTGTAGAGTGGCAGTGCCCTGGGATGTGGGTTTGAGGGGCACACCTGTCACCTATGAGCCTTTCCAGGAAACAGCCCAAGAATTAGCACCTTGGTCCAACAGCTTTATTTGCACACGGGGGTCACTCAGCACTTCCTCTCCCGTGGGGGGTACCTGAGTGTGCAAGGACCTTCCCTCCCGTCACGTGACGCGTGAGGCTGGCCTGCCCAGAGTCTGTGGCTGGGTCTGGTGGGCAGGAGAGGAATCCCGTGACGCAGACTCGTGACCTAGAGCCCACAATTCTAGAGCGTTAGGAGACGGACGCTGCAGATCTCACCCTTAAACAGACAATATATAAGAAAAGCCAATATCACGTACCTGTATTACTCGATGTTTGATTTCAACATGACACGCCCGGTAAGAGAAGAAAAAGTCAAATGATACTTAGGAGTTTACTGTGGAAAACAGCACATGTTCCTTCCATGCAGACCTCCGATCTCACTTTCTCGTGCATCCTTCCAGAAATATTACACACACACACACACAACACACACAAAACACACACGTAATGCAAATGGCAACACACTTATTCCTCTCCTTTTTTCACTTAACAATGTATTTTACAGATTATTTCTTTTCTGCATGTATAGATCTACTTCACTCTTTCTTTTTTTAAATGTTTATTTTGAGAGAGAGAGAGTGCATGTGCATCACACAAACGGGGGAGGGGCAGAGATGGGGGGAGGGAGAGAATCCCAAGCAGACTCCACGCTGTCAGTGCAGAGCCCGACATGGGGCTTGATCCCACAAACTGTGAGATCGTGGCCTGAGCTGAAACAAAGGTTTGGACGCTCAACCGACCGAGCCACCCAGGCGCCCCCTTGGCCAAGCACTGCATTCACAGCAGGACAAGGGGTTACCCCCAACGAACATGTAGTCAGTTGAATGGTGCCCCCCCAAAGCCCCATGTCCTTACTTACCCCTGGAACCTGTCAATGTGACCTTATTTGCAAAGAGGTCTTTGCAGGTATAAGCAAGTTAAGGATTTTGAGATGGGATCATCTTGGATATATATCCAATGACCAGTATCCTTGTAAGAGAACCACTGAGGGACAACTGAGACAGACACACGGGGAGGAGCCATGTGACCATGGAGGCAGCCACCGGGGCCCCAAGCCAACGAATGTTGGAGCCCCCAGAAGCTGCAAGTGGCAGGGGAGGACCCTCCCCTAGAGCCTTTGCAGGGGGTGTGGCACCATGGACACCTGGATTTCAGACCTCTGCCCTCCAGAATAAATTTGCGGCACCTGGGCCGCTCAATCAGTTAAGTGTCTGACTCGTGGTTTCAGCTCAGGTCATGATCTCACAGTTTGTGGGTTTGAGCCCCACATCGAGCTCTGCGCTGACAGCACGGAGTCTCCTTGGGATTCTCTCTCTCTCTCTCTCTCTCTCTCTGCCCCTCCCCTGTGCGCTTTCTCTCTCAAAATAAATAAATAAACATTAAAAAAAAAAAAGGGCTGTGAGGGAATAAATTTGTAGTTTGTGGCCGTTCGTTGAGCCAGCCCTAGGAAACTAACACACAGCGCCAACCTAGGTATCAGGAATCCTACTCACTCTGGGTCTTGGTTTTCTTCATCCCTAAAAATGAGAAGGTTGGGCCACAGAATCTAAAGTTTCTTCGTGGTCCAAACAGTTTCTGGCCTCATTAGGTTCCCTGCATAAGGGCCCCCTTGTTCAAGGCCAGGCTGGGATCACATCAGCTCCCACAACGTGGCTTTCTTCTCCTCTCTCTTCGGAGTGTTTCTTGTCCTTGTGGTCCCCTAATGCTTTTCCATGCATGCTGGTGTGAAACAACATGACTCTTCTAGCCACAAGGAACAATCTTCCCTCCGAAAGGTCGGGTCTCTTGTAAGAAAATGCGATTCAAAGTAGCTTAGGGAAAAGGGGAAATAGGTGAATGTTATGAGTCATCGCCTAGTTCCCGTTCAAGAATGAATGACCCACTACCCAAAATGCTGGGGGTCCCACCGGCTGCAGCTTGAGGGCTGTGTCAGCTGCAGGGCCACCTTGCCCAAGGCCGTGCCCTTCCCAGGCCTGCATCCAGGGACCGGTCCTCCAGGGCCACCACGACCTGCCCTCTCTCCCGCCCTGACTGTGACTCAGAAGGACCGCTCCAGCTTTCCAGACCTCCAGGGGACTGCGGCTTCTCTTGCACCCAGTGCTGCTTCCCCACCCCGCCTTCCACAGGTGCCAGCACCAAGATACTCCCGGAGGAGCCACCAGCCCACGGAGCCCTCTCTGCGCCCCAGTCTGGGGCAGAGGACTCACTGGCTCATGTAACCAAGCCAGTAATGGAGAAGCAGCCCAGGGACCCAGGAACCTACTGGATCTGGGGTTCCACCAGAGGCTCTGGCTCCCCGCTGGCCTCGTAGGGGCCCCAGGCAGAGGAACCCTCACACCAGAGAGAAGCCAGACTTCGTCACGTCTCTGCCCTCCGAGGGCAGGTGCAGGAAAAGGCTCTGATCAGCCTAGTGTGTGCCAGGCCCCCAGCTCCAGACCACGGAGGAGCCAACATTAGAAACTGCTGGCAGTGGGGCCCCTGGGTGGCTCAGTCGGGTAGGCGTCCGACTCTGGATCATGGCTCAGGTCACGATCTCACAGTCTGTGGGATCCAGCCCTGCGCCCGGCTGCGTGCTGACAGCGTGGAGCCTGCCTGGGATTCGTCCTCTCACTCTTTCTCTGCCTCTCCCTCTCTCTCTTTCTCTCAAATAAATAATTAACATTTAAAAAAAGGAAAAAGCTGGAAGTCCCCACTTAAACCATTTGTTTAGAGTGGGCAAAGCACGGGGTGCCTGGGTGGCTCAGTTGGTTAAGCGTCCAACCTCAGCTCAGGTCATGATCTCGTGGTTTGTGAGTTCGAGCCCCGCGTCGGGCTCTGTGCTGACAGCTCAGAGCCCGGAGCCTGCTTCGGATTCTGTGTCTCCCCTTCTCTCTCTGTCCCCTCCCCAGCTCATGCTCCGTCTGTCTCTCAAAAAATAAATAAATGTCAAAAAAATTTTTTTAGAGTGGGCAAAGCGTGCAGCCAGATAACAGCTAACATATGAAGCAAGATAGGGCTGAGCAGGTGGCCCGCTGAACGCTGGCCATGGGGTACCCTCTCCCTGCCTCTTGTCACTTTCTACCAGCTGACCCCTCCCCTCTGTGTCCAGGGGCCAGACCAGCAGCCTGACGTAGCTACGGCCGGCTGTGACTTTGGTGGCCCAAGGAACCGCCTCGCTGCCTGATAGTGTTGACCGTTTGTTTCTTGACGTGGTTTAAAGTGCCTTGAGGTGTAAACTGTATTCCTCGCAGGGCCCGCCTCTGTACATCGGCCCCCCTTATCCTGCTTGAATTGGAAAGGAAGGGGGTGGAGTTGCCCAGCAAGGATTTTGCTAATCCCCACTTAGATACACTTTTCAACTCTTTCTAGACCTCCAGGACAGCGCTAATCCTCCAGTAGAGCAAGTTTTGAGGTTAATAAGAAAAATGTAGGGGCGCTTGGTGGCTCACTCGGTTAGGTGTCCGACCTCGGCTCGGGTCATGATCTCACCAGTAGTGAGTTCGAGCCCCACGTCGGGCTCTGTGCTGATAGCTCAGAGCCTGGACCCTGCTTCGGTCTCTCTCTCCACTCCTCCCCTGCTTGGACTCTGTCTCTCCCTCTCTCTCAAAACTAAATAAACATTAAAAAAAAGTTTTTTAAATAAGAAAAGTATAACATTAAGAGAATCAAAGCAACTTAAAAAAACCCTAACCCCTAACAAAGTAGATAGAGGTGCCCAGCTCTGTCTGATGCCACTCCCGTGTCCCACAGAGGCCAGGGCAGAACCCCACAAGTTCAGCTGAAAGAGTAGACACCTTCAGGACTCAGCATGCCCCCTGCCCTCCCCGGTGCACAGCTCCCCTGCCCTCCCACTGCCCCTGTACCCTCTGAGGACTGACTGCACCTGGATGGGCCCGGACCTGACCCAGGAAGACAGTCAGATTCCACCTCCGGCCAGTTTGGAGTCTCCACCCAAAGGTGCCGCGTCCCTTAGGTGCTCAGCGGGGAAGCAGTATGGAGCCAGGAAGGAATGGCTACGTTTCACCATGAAAGTGCAGAGGCGTGGGGCGGGGGGAGGTGCGGGTTGAGGTTTCAGAGAGAGGAGGGACCTAAAGTCATTTCCTGGGCTTTTGTGCAGAAGACATCAGGTAAAAGGAAGAGTCCAAATGGACCCGGTCCCCACCCACTAGTCTGCTGTCCTTCTTGTCCTTTTATTTAGCATGGATGTGACTGGTGGCAGCGGGCCAGGGGAAACCTCTCCCAGAGCAGTCACATTCTGATAGCCATCAGGCCTTCTCACAAACAGATTACACAGGCTTCAGCTGGGTGTGCACTTTCCACAGCATCTGGAAGCCAGAGGGGACCTGCCTTCATTCTAGGAGCAGCTCTCTCTCCGTGAAGACCAGAACAGTGTAAGAATCTTCGGGTTTGGGATCTGTAAGTGGGGAGGGCTGGGCTCTGCTCTCAGGTCCCTGACACCCCTCACACCTGCCCACCCCCCCCACCGGGCCTGGTCCACCCTGGGCACTAAGCAATTGTGTGTGGGTGGCAGATGAATGGATGAACGAACTTCAAAGGACGAAGGATTCCCCAGGAAGACGGGGACCTCCTCCAGGTAGGTGAGTGAGGGCAACCACAGGAGACTCCCAGGAAAGGGAGTTAACTTAGGAATTATTCACACCTCATAGGAGACTGATCATTTCTCTCAGGAGGGATTTGGGACAAGCATGTATGTGCAGGACAGGTAACTGGTAAATTGCCATAGAACATGATGTGAGGGGGCGCCTGGGGTACTCAGTCGGTTGAGCATCTGACCTCGGCTCAGGTCATGATCTCGCGGTTCATGGGTTCGAGCCCCACATCGGATCTGTACTGACAGCTCAGAGCCCGAACCCTGCTTCGGATTCTGTGTCTCCTTCTCTCTCTGCCCCTCCCCCGCTCATGCTCTGCCTCTCTTTCAAAAATAAATAAACATTAAAAAAAAGAAGAAGAATGTGAGATATGGGAAGGAAACAGATTCTATTTGTCAGGATTCTCCACAGAACAGAATGAACAGGATATCTAGAGATACATAGAAGAGAAGACTTATTACAGGAAGTGGCTCACACGTTATGGCGGCCCCATGAGAAGTCCCATGACCTGTCTTCAGGTTGGAGGCCAGCAAAGGCAGGGGTGTCATTTGGTCTGGGTCTGAGGCCCAGGAAACAGGGGCACAGATGTCCGAGAGCAGAGGAGATAGATACCCAGCTCAAGCAGAGGCAAATTTATCCCTCTGCCTTTTTCCTCTACTCAGGTCCTCAGTGGATGGGACGATGTACTGGGGAGGGCCATTGATTTAGATGTTCTTCTCTTCCAGATCCACCTGCACATACCCCCAGGAATAATGTTGGATCAGTAATCTGGGGGCCCCTAAGCCCAGTCGAGTTGATGCACATCACACAGACTAACTGGATTTTAGATCCTCTGTTATCTAGTGTGACCGCCTTCTGGACAGACAGGGCCGCTAGAGATTTGCCTTCAGTGCAAGCGAGCAATTTGCTAAGGTCATTTCATCAATTAGTGGGAAAGCCGATTGCTCTGGAAACACTGAGCGGCTGCAGTGGGAACTCGGTAGAGCGGTGCACACGGCAGCTGAGGCCCCTGCCTCCTGGGGTCCAGTCTAGCATGAAAGACGGGCGCTGAGCAAGCAATGGAAAATGAGATGCACATCACACAGGAGGAGGGCAGGGCATCCAGGGAGCATGGCAGGAGTTGCTGGGCGCATCCGTGCTGACAGCGGCCAGACTGCTTTCCGCAAGGCCCACCCTGCAGGGACCCGGTCTCTCCATGACAGTCCCACGAGGTGGGCTTTACCATCACCCCCACGTTAGAAACTAAGAGACTGGAGGCTTGAGAGGTTAAAGCCTTACCACCGAGTACCTACCTCATCAGTAAACAGCAAAGCTGGGATTCAAACAAAGTTCTATTTGACACTCAAATCTGGGCTCTTTTGGCTTTTCTGTGGCAAATGATAGAAACCTAACTCAAACTGTCTTAAACAAGGAAGAGAGGGGCGCCTGGGTGGCGCAGTGGTTAGATGTCCGATTTCGGCTCCGGTCATGATCTCATGGTTCATGGGTTTGAGCCCTGTGTCGGGCTCTGTGCTGACAGCTCAGAGCCAGGAGCCTGCTTCAGATTCTGTGTCTTCCTCTCTCTCTGTCCCTCTCCTGCCCACACTCTGTCTCTCTCTCAAAAATAAATAAAGCATTTTTAAAAATTAAAAACAAAGAAGAGAGTGTTTTGTGTCACATAATTTAAAAGTGTCGGCTTTCAGCATGGCTGATCCAGAGGCTGAAATAATGTCACTGGCTGGGGTCGGGGGAAGGGAGGGAGAAATCTGTCCTTTTCTCCAGATACTGGACAGGCTTCGTGGCCCCCACAGTTCATGACCAGGCCAGTCACCCCAGAGGAAAGAGCTTCTTCTGTGGTAACCTGGACAGGGCTTTGGATTCCTAGCCTGCCTATCAGTAAACACATCAGGCAAAAAGGGGTGGGGTCCTCTGATTACCCAGGCCTGGCCTGTGACTGTCCTTGGGTGGGCAGTGGCCCTACCTTGACCGCATGGAGTCAGTTCCTACTGGAAGGAGAGTTTCTGTTGCCTGAAAAAAGGGAAGGGATGCTGATCAGGCAAACACCTGCGCCCAGCACGGCTTTGAGCCCCTGTACTCTACATCGAGCTGCCTTTCCACCACGGTGGAAAAGCCCAAGTGCCACGTCTCCGGGGCACACAGAAGAGGATAAACTGAACACTAAGGATGAGTCATGTTTCTGTCATAGGACCACCTAATGACTAGTTCATTCCGCAAATCATGTAGCGCATGCTAATAAAGTCGCTCTGGGCCAAACACTGTTCTAGGCCCAGGGATTAGAGGTGTTTTGTTCTTGTATTTGGAGGCACAGGCCCTCCTCTT